CGTCAGTCGACGTAACATCTCCGTTCCCAGGGTTACATACGTAACCGAGACGTTACTTGTAATGTGTTGCCCGCAACACTGGTCATGTATTTAAATATATTTGTAATGATGAACTTGCAATTTAGTACATTTAAAATACATATTAATTTTAAATGTAATACTGTATAACACACTACTGCTCAAATTATAATCAAGTACTTTACAGGTGCTATAGGGCCAGATTTACTAACAGCTTGCGCAAGCGCAAACCGTCTTTTGGCGTTAAAATAGTCCTGTCTGGATTTACTAAAGACGCACAGTGAAAAATTAGCGCTGAAAAGGCGTGGACACAGTTATTTTTGCGCCTGACCTTTTTGAATATGCATTTGTAGGAGTTTCCCTTTCAGACGCAAAATTTATGGGAGGAGAGTATTAAAATGAATCACGCAACGCGATTTACTAATGTTTGTGCTCGTCAAATTACTGATATTTGTGCCATTATTCAACGCCCCAAAAAAATGTCTTAAAGCAGGCACTAATTTGCGCTGCACTTGGTAGACTGCGCTGGTCATTATGGAAATGATCTGGCTGCGTGTTTACGTATGTGATACTCTTCAAAATGTCCTTGCTGTAGGAAAATAGGTTCCTTGCTGTCTATGGAGGGTCAGAGAGCTCTCGGAATGCAACAAAAATATCTTAATTTGTGTTCCGAAGATGAAAGAAGGTCTTATGGGTTTGGAATGACACGAGGGTGAGTAATTAATGACATAATTTTCATTTTTGGGTGAACTATCCCTTTAACATGTCAAAATAATTATACTTCTTTAAAGTACAACAAAAATGATTAAAACATGATTTAAAATGTTCTTTACAGTAAAATGTTTAATTTGACATTATCACAACATGCTCTTTTTCAAAATCTACTCAAGTGGGTTAAGAAACTGTTAAAAACTGAACTCTATAAGTACACTCAAATTGCCTTTTTCATTAAAATGATCTGAAAGTAGTTTCTTAAAAACAGACTTTTAAGATCTGAAGTACACTACAAGTGCACATTCAATACAATTATGCACACTTCTTTTCACAGATGTTTTGCAAATGAAAAGATGCATCAAAGGAGACATAAGAACATTAAAAATGAGATGGACACACATGATTATTCCACTCTAGTACCGTTTCCATTCAAAACTGGGAGGGATACCCATAATGCTTTACAGCTAGAAGATTTATATTTACACTGATGACTCATTTTCTGCATGAGCTCCACAGAACATCCACCTGCTAAAGGGAAAAATGTGAATGGTGCTTATGGAAATTTTTTTTGGCTACAGGGCATTGTTGTGTAGTTTATAATCGGGTATTCAGGGTGTTTTATGTGTTATGAGTCAAAAGAGTCCACTCGTAGTCTCCAGATATGGATGGAGTCATCCTTTCAGTGTATGTCTATGGGATTTTGTATGCTTGTTTTATTGTCCATCGGGTGAAACTCTTAAAGGGATAGTTCACCAAAAAAAAATTAATTCTGGAAGACCTTCACTCCCTTGTGTCATTCTAAACCTGCATGATGTTCTTTCTTATGCGGTACACAAAATAAGGTATTTTGAAGAATGTTTGGACTTCATTAAATTTCACTGTATAGATGAAAACAATGAAAATGCTGCTGTTCGTTGTCTTAGTAGCTAACGTTATAATCAGAACTTGAAAACTTGCTCGAGTTATAATTGCGAAAAATTAAAATGTTCCCATAGGCCATGTTTACTACATTCAAATATGTCGCATCAAGCAAAAATCAATCATAAGACAAGCAACTTATCGTGAAATGTTCGTAAAGATTAGTAGTTTTACACCATTTCCTAACCAAATACGATGCGATATAACTCTGGTGACAATCAATATGTCTGTTCACACCAGATGCGACAGGTACAAAACGCAACAAAATCAATCACAAATCATAGCCAAATCAAGGTACATTGATTTACCTCAATGATTTACAAACGCTTGTTGCGTTTCGTCATCACAGCTAGTTAGAAAAATTTCTCCCCTCCTTCTAACCAGATGTGCCGGCAACACGCAATAAATATATCTTTTTCATGTTAATCCATGTTTTCTATGTTAAGAGGAAAAATACTTGTGAAAATGTTTATATATTGAAATATGACACATCAAGCAACAATCAATCACAAGACAGATGAACCAATGCTGTTGTTGTCGTTGTTGCCATCAGTGTTGGGTGTAATGCATTACAAGTAACGTAATCAGATTACTTTTTCAAGTAACTAATAAAGTAACACATTACTTTTACATTTATATCCAAATATCTGAGTTAACTTAAGTTACTTTGTTTTCTGAATTATTCACTGACACCTCTCTTATCCCCATGTTAAGAGAAATTGGGAGTAAGTGCAGAGGCACTACCGTCAGCCTGAGGCTTATTCATTCCACTTTTGGTGTGAAAGAGCCCCAAAAAGTAACACAAAACTATTAGTTACTAACACAAAACTATTTGTTACTTTTTATGGAGTAATGCAATATTGTAATGCATTACTTTTAAAAGTAACTTTCCCTAACACTGCTTGCCATGGTGCATTATATTCAATTGTTTGTAAAGATGTAGTTTTATCATGTTTCCTAACCAGACACAATGTAATATGACTCTAGAAAAGCAATTTGTATGTTCCAAAATAGAGTCAACTGTTGCTTTTTGTGCATCGCCATGGCGGCTGGTTCAAAGAATCTTCCCCTCGCTAAAACGTGTCCTAACAAGACAAGTCGCGACACACAATAAACGTATCTTTTCCATGTTAAGAGGACAAAATTGTGGAAAACGTACCATTTATCGTATGTTGCGGCGTGACATGGTCTCAGCGAGGTGGATTTTTAACAAATTATTCAAAGGTCAGTCTCTTTCTCACACAAAGCTTTTGTTCACTCTCAGAAGACTTGGAATATAGTGATAGTGGCACTTCTGGAGCCGTTTTTGTCATTTCTGGAGACTGACAGCCCCTCTGCGTCTTTTTCAATGTAAGATATTTATCATCTTGGACACGGTATATTTTTTTGTACCGTTGAAAGTAAAGAAAGTCATACAGGATTGGAGCAATAAAGTGTAAATGATAGCAAAATTTTATTTTTGAGTGAACTATCCCTTGCATAACCTGGCAGCTGTATTTTTCATCTTTCAGAGGAGCCTGAGGTATTTTTGTTGGCATTACCCCACTGCTCCTCTCTCCTTTATGCTCTTCTGTCTATTTTTGAGCCATGTGAACATTCCCCAAACACAGAATTACATTGAAGAAACTCATTTCGTCTATCTTCGACCCTGGAATCTTGAATAAATGGAAAGGGGGTACGGGAGCAATGGAGTCACACCTCTATTATACTGAAGCAAGATATTGCTCTTTCTTCTTCGTGAACCAGACACAATGTAATATGACTCTAGAAAAGCAATTTGTATGTTCCAAAATAGAGTCAACTGTTGCTTTTTGTGCATCGCCATGGCGGCTGGTTCAAAGAATCTTCCCCTCGCTAAAACGTGTCCTAACAAGACAAGTCGCGACACACAATAAACGTATCTTTTCCATGTTAAGAGGACAAAATTGTGGAAAACGTACCATTTATCGTATGTTGCGGCGTGACATGGTCTCAGCGAGGTGGATTTTTAACAAATTATTCAAAGGTCAGTCTCTTTCTCACACAAAGCTTTTGTTCACTCTCAGAAGACTTGGAATATAGTGATAGTGGCACTTCTGGAGCCGTTTTTGTCATTTCTGGAGACTGACAGCCCCTCTGCGTCTTTTTCAATGTAAGATATTTATCATCTTGGACACGGTATATTTTTTTGTACCGTTGAAAGTAAAGAAAGTCATACAGGATTGGAACAATAAAGTGTAAATGATAGCAAAATTTTATTTTTGAGTGAACTATCCCTTGCATAACCTGGCAGCTGTATTTTTCATCTTTCAGAGGAGCCTGAGGTATTTCTGTTGGCATTACCCCACTGCTCCTCTCTCCTTTATGCTCTTCTGTCTATTTTTGAGCCATGTGAACATTCCCCAAACACAGAATTACATTGAAGAAACTCATTTCGTCTATCTTCGACCCTGGAATCTTGAATAAATGGAAAGGGGGTACGGGAGCAATGGAGTCACACCTCTATTATACTGAAGCAAGATATTGCTCTTTCTTCTTCGTGTCTATCTTCCCTCTCAGCTCTTTTGCTGCCACTTCATTCCCTATTTGTCAAGTCGTCGCATCAAAATTGAAATGAATCTTTGCTAAATGAACCTTCAGACGAATCTCGAAACATTTGAGCATCTATATTTACGGAAACAGATACAACGAGTTTCTCTGTTTCTCCAGCTTGGATGGATTTCCCCATCTACAGGTGACTGGAAAAGGTCTGTCACTTCCGTAAGGAGTCGCTCGGAATTCCGGACAGGCTGCAATTCTTTTCTTAGACGAAGAGACGCCTCCAAGCCTTGGCGTTTCAATCGATCAGACGTCTCTGTGACAGGGTATCGAGTCCTTGGCTGGCGAGCGTGAGCGCCAAGCCCTGTCTGAGCCAGACGTAATCGATACGCCAGTAAACCGCACATTCCCTGTGCACTCTCACAGGCTTCTGGCTGAGGCGCTAATTGTGTTTTACAAAGCCAATGCTCCCTCACATCATACAAATCTTCACTTCTAAGTACTGAGACCTCTGGGGAATAAATCTAAATGAAATCCACCATGCAGTAACAGCAAGGTCCTCCATTTGAGGAAATAAACGCCGCTGCCCACAGTGACTCTGGAATCTGTTATTCAGTGACTAATGAAAGGAGTGCTGAATGATATTTATTCTTTAAAACCTATAAAATTGAATACAGGTTCATGGGCAAGTAATATAAACTACATAACATACTAAATATATTTAAGTATTTTACTTACATTATATATATATATATATAAATATTTTATAAAAGTAAATGTTTCATTGTATTAGTTTTCGTTAACTAATATAATGATAATATGAAATCACTTACCTTTCCCACGTAGGCCAGCAGACGGGCGTTGAGAGGACTGTCATCTGAACTCAACCAGAACTCTGAGTTATCATCGGAAGAAACCGCAAACTGAAAATCACCTGCATATAGAATATACTTTCTTATTCTTTGATAACATGTATGTGTGTGAATGTGAGGGTTTGCACCCATTTGCACCTTGTTAATATAAACAAGCATTTACCATCTTTGTAAGGTAGAATATATCCAAATATTCTCAGGCCATAGTTCTTCCATTTTGGAGCCACGGCCAACTTCTTCACAGCAGTTCTCGTCTGGAGAGATAAAACGCATGATTATGAAATTAGTATGTGGTGGGGATGAGCAAAGACAGACACGGTAGGTGTGCTAAAATACAGTACTTTTTTACTTTTTAAACATCTCTGGAATAATTTAGCCTTGCTAAAGCTAATATTTTGTGTTGTTTCACACACATTTAGCATAATTTGACAAAATCACAGCTTGGTTGGAAGTGACACAAAATATTTTGTTGCGAAATGATATTTACTTTGTTTTCTTCACACATCACATATTTTCAGATTTAATATTTTATCTTTTGCTGACACTGTTGCCACCTTATTAAACATGTTAATTAACGTTTAAAAAATCATTAATAGGCATAAAATTGATGGTTGTGTTGGAGATTATGCCAGAGAGACAACTATAATGAGTAAAACAAAAATAACAAAATAATTTCACACTCACACACACACACACACAATAAATAAATTAATTAATTAATTAATAAAAAAAAAACACATTTATTTATTCCACTATGTTTAGATTTTCACAAATTTATAATAAAAAAGCAACTATGAATAATGAAGACATAAAAAGTTTTCAAGTCAGTTTTAATGTGATTGTCATAAAATTGTTATAAAAGTCTTATATCTTATAAAAATCAATCACTGAGACATAATGGGGCTCATTTTATTTCAAATAAAACACCTCTGTGAGTTCTGAAGCCGTTCCTGCTCTGTCTGTCCAATCTCACCCTGCCATAAATGCTAAACAGACACACATAACAATGTGTGTGAGACCAGAATCTCAGATATCTGTCATCTGTTTACAAAAATCACAGGGAAAGACAGACGGAGATAAAGAAGCGGAGGAACAGAGAGAAGGCTTTCCGGAACAGAGTAAGTATTTTCACAGTATTGGCTGTACATGCTTTTAATTTGGGGTGAGTTCTGTCAGACATCTTGATCTGTGATCTATAAAAACAGGCCTGCCAAAAAAGAACCAAAAATGAAATATATAAATACATGACAAAGTAAAGTTGAGGAGGTGGGATGACTGTGTAGGTGGTCTGAACTAAACATAATTCACAAAGACAGAGCAGGAAAAGCCAACTGTATAATTCCACCCATTACAACCTTTTGGGGCTTTCAATTAAATTCAACCACCCACATGAGGAGAGAACGCTGGAGGTTTGCAAACATACCTTCCAAAACCCTATAATAATAAACAAAAACTGCAGTTTGCCATAAATCAAAGGAATACTTCACCGAAAAAATGGGTGAGTTAAATGACATCAGAATTGTGCCATGGTCATGTCATAGCAAAATAAAAGTAATGAAAAAAAAAAAAATACATTTAAAAATATTGTAATTATTTTATTTAATGTTTTAATTGTTAGGGACAGATACAATAAACATAGATGAAACTGAAATAACAGTCATCCCATGCATGTACCATAGTGCTTGCAGCCGAAGCCAATTTGCAACACTTGTCCCTAGGAGGGCTTTTATAAATTACAGTTACAAAAAACAACAAGTAGTTGTCACGATCGCTACTGTAAGGGAGCGCGGAGCGAGGAACAAAGAGACGTGGAGTACATCAACAAGGAGACTTTAATAACATCAAGGAAACCAGGAAAAAACACGTAGCAGAGGAGGTTGACATAAACAATACCGGACCGAGAACAACGGACCGGAAACACTTTAAATACACAAGACATGACACCTGGAACTAATGAAACATAATAGGAACAGGAAAGAGGAAGAACCAAATATGGGCATAAGGAAACACGAGGGAGAACTTGGGGGAGGAAAACACAACACAACGGGAACACAATTTTGACATTACTCCCCCCTCCAGGAAGGACACAACATCCAACGGGGAGGGGGGGTGGGCGCTCTGGAGGCCCCTCAGGACAGACACGGGACAGCAGGCCTCCAGAGCGGTACCCATTCCAGGACGCCTGGCGGATCCGGCAGTTCGGGGCGCCATGGCGGAGCAGGCAGTTCAGGAGGCCATGGCTGAACAGGCAGACTAGGAAGCCATGGCGGAGCAGACAGTTCAGGAGGCCATGGCGGAACAGGGAGCTTGGGGAGCCTGGCCTCGGCACTGGGCCCGGCCTCCACGGATGGACCCCTACTACCCCCTCCCCCCCAAAAAAAAATCCTTGGGGAGAATGTAGTCTTTAGAGGCCCTCCGTAGGCCTAACTTGGGAACTGTGGCCCTCCCTGGGCTTGACGTGGGGACTGGAGCCCTCCTTGGGCTGGACGTGGGGACTGGAGCCATCCTTGGGCTGGACATGGGGACTGGAGCCCTCTCTGGGCTAAACTCGGAGACAGGAGTCCTCCGTGGGCTAAACGAGGGTACTGCAGCCCTATCTTGACGCTGGTCTGGGACTAGAGCCATCTCTCGACTTTGGTCAGGGGATAAAGCTGATACTGGAGTGAACTCAGGGGCTGGAGCCGACTGGAGCGAGCTCTGGGGGGCGCTCTCGGGCAAGGAAGAGGACCGTGAGCCATCTTTTTCTCCTCATCCACCTCTTTTGGTTACAGGTGAATAGGGCGGCTAGCGGGCTTGGGTCAGCTGCGGCCGGCAAGCTTGCGGGAGCCGCGGCCGTCGGGCTTGAGAAGGGGCGCCGCTTACTGTTTCTGTTTTGGTCCGGTATTCTGTCACGATCATTACTGTGAGTGAGCGTGGAGCGAGGAACGAGGAGATGTGGAGTACATCAACAAGGAGACTTTAATAACATCAAGGAAACCAGGAAAACACATGTAGCAGAGGAGGTTGACACAAACAATACCAGACCAAGAACAACGAACCGGAAACACTTTTAATACACAAGACATGACGAGAAACACCTGGAACTAATGAAACATAATAGGAACAGGAAACAGGAAGAACCAAATATGGGCATAAGGAAACACGAGGGAGAACCTGGGGGAGGAAAACACAACACAACACAAGTCTGACAGTAGTACACCAATTTATAATATAAGTACACTAAACAAGACTACAAGTTTACACCTTTCTCTGAGAGAACAGTCTGAGCAAATTATGTTTTGCAATGTATAACTTTACAGTTTCCACTAGAAGCCGCTCTAGTGGATCTACTGATCCCCTACAATCTCTCAAAAAATTTACATAAGTGCATAGGGGCAAGACCATTTAAACATTTTACAAAGTAAACTTTACATAATGAAAAAAGACAAAGTGAGCACAGCTCAATGGCAAATATGGCAAATTAATGAATAATTGAATTAATAAATAAATACATAAATAAATAAAATATTTTCATGGTGACACCAAATAATAAATAATAATAATAATAATAAATGATTTCCATGGTGACACCAAAATAAAAAGTAATGAAATAATAATAATAATAATAATAATAAATGATTTCCATGGGCGATAAATAAATAACTTTTGTGGTGACTCCAAAATAAATGTAATGCATTAACAACAATAATAATGATAATAATAAATCCAAATAATTCATAATTCATTATCAAAACTATAATATATAATCTTATAATTTTTAAGCCAACAATAAACTCATATATTTTACTTATATTTATTTTACAATACACAAATTAATTTCTCATTTCGTCCAACTGAGTGTAACACACCAAGTTCTTCTAAAGAGCACATTCCTCCCAACGATCACATAGCTGCTTGTTTACTCGTCTTTCTGCTAATATTTACTTTCCACCGTTTCAGTTACGCTTCACTGGGCTCCCCATGCAAATTTACGGCCACTGTTGTGAAAGACGTGGGCTTGTGTTTTAATCTAACCAAACACAGCGCTGTCACATTACTCTAAAACTCAATTATGTTTTTCTCATATCAGCACGACAGCTGTCATCAAACCAAAACAACACGCTCGAATATCCCTACTAAAGTTTACCGTACCAATAACTCACATCTGAATTTTATAAATTTTTTATACAAGATTGTCATAATTATAATTCCAGATTTCACTATTTGTCTTTCCATTTAGCTCAACTCCATCATAACAGTATCCTCCATCTCATAAATCATACAAGCTAAACAGATATTCAGTAATTCATGTGTTTATATTAATAATTAACTCGCTCATCTAAAAACAAATTGTCCTCTTTAAAGCTTCCTGCAGTAAAAACCGGCCACGGGGCCAATCAAAAAGAGTCCAAACTGTTTCAAGATTTGAATTAAAGATTCATTTTTAATATCCCAAAGCACTGCACATCAGTAAATCCACACCAGTTTTGCTATTAATTATCTCAGAAAACATAATTACGCACAATTTTCAGTATATAAGCAGGACATCATCTTCCACTATTTTTCCCTACAAACTCCTGATGTTTATGTGAGCAGAGCACACACGTCTCTCGAGACGGGAGTCTGAGTTATAGCTGCTCCAGGACAATAGATAAACCAATTTCATCTCTACATCACCCGAGAATACAAGAACGTGAGATCTAGTCTGTGGGAGTTTTGAATTATGAAAGACACAGAGAAGCACAGACATGCACACACTCTCAAGAAAATAACAAACAGACACATCCAACTGACCAAACGTCTGAGACCTTCATGTAAACCTGGACGTTTGGGATTTCTTCCATTAAAGCACGAGATGTTCTTCAGATCATTTCTGGAGAACGTGATCATGAGGTTTTGTCCATGTCAACTTGAGTGCTGCTGTCAGCAAACCAAATAATAATGCGTTCTGAAATTGTTATGCTAATAATATGATATGCCAATAAAATGCTAAATAGAAGTAGTCTCAGATTTTGGAGCAGAAGGTGATTGTGTTTCTGTTGATACTCACATGGGGGTAGAGAGGAAAATGCAGGTTCTTCCTGAGCTGAGCGACTGAGGAGCCACACCAGTCCTCAAAGACGTGGAGATTCGCCTGACCTTTAAACTGGGAAGAAGAAACATGGAAGACCTGAAGATTACTTTCTGACACACTGCTGAAGTGTATACAAATTGGAATAAAAAACTGAATTTAATGTTTTGCCACAATTAGTTTTTTTTTAATTCGCATGACGGCACACGCGATAAATTACTCACGATGAGAGCGCGCTCTATGAAGGACCGTAACGTAACAGAACAGAATAAATTTTTTCGTTGACAATGATGGCGGTGGAATGGGGAAAAAACACAAGGTTATGAGACTTCAGTTGAACTTCTTTTAACTTGAGCGCCATATTTTTAGAATGCCGTTTCAAACATGAGACGCTGCATAAGACTCCAACGCAAATGTCAAACATGTTCATCAAACACATTTACAGAAAAACAATGGAAAATTAGTGCAATGGAATGAAAAACCTGAAAAGAACCACTACTGTATGTCTGATATTTCATGTTTGCATGATGCTTACAGGCTGAAAGCTGCTGTTTTTTTATTTAATTTGATTTATTTTTAAACACGATATTTAATGTTAATAACAAGTCTACTGGTGTTATAATTTTAGTCATTTTTAATTTGAATAGCCTTGACATTTAGAGGTTCATTTTTACCATTCTGAAAATATATTATAGGATATGTTTAAGACAAGTTTGTACAATATGTGCCTTCATATTTCATACATATTTTCAGCAAATATATTTAACAATTTTATTTGTTTTACTTTTACACCATGTTAAAGTGTGCTGCACCTGGAATAAAACGTTCTTTAACCAGATGGTTAATAAAGAAAATGTTACTTGAATCATGTTGTAGTTGCATTTCAAGTAGTTAAATGCAAACAAACAAACAAACAAATAAATACATATCTTGCATCTGTCAAACATTCTAGAATACAATGAGGGTTGTTTTGCCATATCACCTAGACAGACAGACAGACAGACAGACAGACTAGATAGATAGATAGATAGATAGATAGATAGATAGATAGATATTGTCAGGTGATAGATAGATAGATAGATAGATAGATAGATAGATATTGTCAGGTGATAGATAGATAGATAGATAGATAGATAGATAGATAGATAGATAGATTTCAAACACTCAAATGTCTGCATGTGTGGATCTACTGAAAGGCTACAGTTGACTGGTTGACTGTAGTGTAACATTTTGAGAAGCTTGTAGTTCGGAAAGTTAAAGTTTCAAAGTAGCTTCCCAAACACTGGCAGAAACGCATGCTGAGACCAGCATCCAAAACCCAACATGCTGCTCACCAGCTGCGCTCGTCTCTTCAGCAGGGAGCCCGTGTGTTCCTGGATGAAAATACAATATCCACAGTCTTTAAAAAAACACCAGCTTCTGTACTATTATGAGATTTACAGCAGAACCACACCAGGGATTGAGTCCCCAAACCGCTGAAGATCCGTCAGAGCATCTAATCCTGTCCTGACCACTGCCGTGTGACCTCAGCTGGACCGACCCGCCACAGTCTGATCCACGGGGAGTTGAGCATTAATAAAACACGACAGCAGTTTAGATGACTGGTGTTCTGGCACATTGTTCCACACAGCGTCCACAGGCTCCCCAAAAACCACAACAACACAGCGCAGACCATCAGAGGTGTTACAAGCCTGCAGCGAAAGGCAGGAAAACCAGAACATTTTCCAGCCCAGTAGAAAAATCGAATCGTTTCAGAACGCGTTCACGGCGCTCGCTTCAGATAATTCTGATGGGCCGCGTCACAAACCATTAGCATCAGTTAGCACGCTAAAGCACGGATGACCACGCGCAATACCGAGAACGCCAGCTCTCACCTATGTCAGTTAAAGCTCTTTAAGCCCGACAAATAGAACCGACATATTCACATTAGACAGCCGGCTACGTCTCTTTTCTGTACTGAGTTAAGCTTTAACCCTTTCCTATACCAACTGTATGTGTGTGTGTATGTGTATGTTAGACCATTTTATGTAGGATGTTAGACCAGTTTATGTGTTTATGTAGTATGTTAGACTAGTTTAAGTGTTTATGTAGTTAATAAAACCTTACTTGTATCACACTTGACGTGGTTCATTGTTTGCTCATAACTGGAGTCACTTAATCATGCAGATTTATGCTACAAGCTTTTGTAGAATTGTACAGTAAGAAAGTTATTTCCCTTAACCAGGAAATTAACGTTCTTAGAATTGACAAGACAGTTGACCCTGAGAGGTCAGCTAAATATCTACAGCGGATCTAAAATATTCATAATTAATTATAACTAGTTATGGTTAATTATTCATATTTCCCATGAGCTGATTCGTTACAATAGATAGATAGATAGATATTGTCAGGTGGTAGATAGATAGATAGATAGATAGATAGATAGATAGATTTCAAACACTCAAATGTCTGCATGTGTGGATCTACTGAAAGGCTAATATTGTACAGTTGACTGTAGTGTAACATTTTGAGAAGCTTGTAGTTCGGAAAGTTAAAGTTTCAAAGTAGCTTCCCAAACACTGGCAGAAACGCATGCTGAGACCAGCATCCAAAACCCAACATGCTGCTCACCAGCTGCGCTCGTCTCTTCAGCAGGGAGCCCGTGTGTTCCTGGATGAAAATACAATATCCACAGTCTTTAAAAAAACACCAGCTTCTGTACTATTATGAGATTTACAGCAGAACCACACCAGGGATTGAGTCCCCAAACCGCTGAAGATCCGTCAGAGCATCTAATCCTGTCCTGACCACTGCCGTGTGACCTCAGCTGGACCGACCCGCCACAGTCTGATCCACGGGGAGTTGAGCATTAATAAAACACGACAGCAGTTTAGATGACTGGTGTTCTGGCACATTGTTCCACACAGCGTCCACAGGCTCCCCAAAAACCACAACAACACAGCGCAGACCATCAGAGGTGTTACAAGCCTGCAGCGAAAGGCAGGAAAACCAGAACATTTTCCAGCCCAGTAGAAAAATCGAATCGTTTCAGAACGCGTTCACGGCGCTCGCTTCAGATAATTCTGATGGGCCGCGTCACAAACCATTAGCATCAGTTAGCACGCTAAAGCACGGATGACCACGCGCAATACCGAGAACGCCAGCTCTCACCTATGTCAGTTAAAGCTCTTTAAGCCCGACAAATAGAACCGACATATTCACATTAGACAGCCGGCTACACTTTCAACCCAGCATATTTTATTCCCGGTATTTGGTGTCTGTCAGAAGACATTAGACTGGAGCAGACAGAAGAGAACTGGGAGTTATTGTTTATTCCTTGCTGTTGGCTCAAAATTGATTCCTTTTCTCTCCCTCTGCGAATTCTCTAAATGCGATCAATACGAGAAGATCAGAAGCACAATTCTGTTACACAGCGCATTTGCACACACCACAGAGACTAAAGGAATAAAGGCACCTTGCGGTTGAAGTACTGGAGGGAAATTTATTCGCTTTCATGAAGTGGAGAAACTTCATGAAAAAGGAGAAAATGTTCCTGACCATCACAGCTGAGGTGAACTCGGTCAGCCCATCAGTTCTGTAGTTTATCTAACAGTCGTTTCGGGAACTGACCTCGGGTTCAGGAGGAATGGTTGGCGTCTTGCTGAGAAAGTGTGAAGTGGTTGATGATGCAATTTCAAGGCCTTTCCTACAGGAGTCATATCATGCAAAAACGAAAAAAAAAAGTAAAAAAAAAAAGGCATTTGTAGATATATATACCAACATTCAAAATCTTCAAGGTTGTAACAAAGGACAGCTCCAAAAAAACAAAAAAACAACAATAATATAAAAAAAAGAAAGGGTCTTTTTGGATTTTATGTTTAGTTCCCATAACTAATATATATACATATATATATATATATATTGTGGCGGGATCACCAAATGCCAGACACAGCGGGTGTGGCGTCAGGCCTCGGAGAGGCTTTTATTAACAAAATATAAACAACAAAGTGTCCAGGAAAACGGGGAATCAAGTGTCCAAAATAAAACAGTGGATCTGGTGTCCTCGTCGTGCTGCGGGGTTCGTGCAGGGACGGGCAGTGGTCAGGAAGGAAGGGTCCAGATAAGGGCGGAGTCCGGCGGCCGCACGCACTCCCCTCTCCGGTCCGGGGCGTGATGGGGCAGCAGCTTCTTTCAGCGGCTTCGTCCTTCTCTCTGACCACGGCACTTGAAGGGACTAGACGGCCCGGCATCCTGGCCTGACGGCCGTGTAACGGGTGCGGTTCTCGTCCGGACCATGGGTCCGGTAGCTCACGACCCTGGCGGCACGGGTGTCCCTCTACGCACCCCTCCTGGACCCACGAGGATACCAGCGTGCATGCACGGATAAGAGACCGGTCTCCCGAGGAGAGGCGCGCTCGGCATTTAAACAGCGGCGGTGATGAGGCTCCATTCGGTTCAGGTGTGCCTCCCATCACACGCCGCCAGCCCTGGCTATTTCAGCTCCCCTCCTCTCTCACGCACCCACTCCCGTCGGGAGCCTGGTCGAAGGGCGGTGATTAAGGGACGGGCTGATGCTGATAATTAGGGGGAGGCAGCCGACTCGTCACAATATATCTATATATATATAAATACATTTCATATATTAAGAAATATATCTCATAAATGTATCAAAAATATCTCATAAAATGTTTTAGCATAAATGCAATATCATAAATATTGCGTAAATATATTTATGTATAATAATACTACATAAATGTAAATGTAAGCATATTTTGATGTAAGCATATTTAAATTTTTTTTATGTAGTGCTTTTTAGGATGAGAAAAGTGCAATAAAAATGCATTATTATTATTATTATTTTTTTTATTATAAATGTTACATGTAGTCATATAAACCTCACACTTTTTCATAAGAATAATTTATAACTCTGCCATGAATGAACGAACGATAGACCGGACGAACAAACAAACAAATTAATTCATTCAATTTCAATTTAAGAAACATTATGCTTCAACCTCAATATGCTAAACAATGACCAATGATATTTTTCTCAAATATCTGAATGATTTTTAAAATACTATTTATTTATTTA